AGCTTTTGTAAATAAAGAGGAGAAGAGGGGATGAAATAAGGAGGAGAAGAGGGGATGAAAGGAGGCGGAGGAATGGGAAAAAATCAAGAAACATGTACAGATACATCTCTATGATAAATGTGATCATTATGTAAACCTAAAATGTACTACTAAAATTAATGGAAAATAAAATAAAATTTTAGCTTTATAAGTCTTAAGTATATGATACACTAAAACATTATACATAAATAATAAATAGTAAGATTTAAGGGAGGATAAATACAGATATTAGGAATTATAGAATATTTCAAATTTGTAATATAACTTTCACTAAATGTATACATGATGAGTCTGTACAAACCATTGGTAAGGATTGCCATCATTTGAATTCAGATGATTCTTGAATGTGCTCAGGCTTTATAATGAATGAATACCCTCATCAGTGGGAGTGAAAGTACTCTTGTCCAATTTTATTCTTACCTTTACTGCAGCTCATGCACTTTATGGTAGCAAAGGACAAGAAAGTATAAAGGAGCTGCAAACATTAAACTATTAAAAAAGAAAAATGCATCTTGCCTGTAAAGTCTACTTGCTGCAAATAAAATTCTGGCATTGCTTTTTATCCTCTGTTTTTCCTTCAGAGTTCTAGGTTGCCCTTGGTCCTGTCTGATTACTAAGCAGAAACTGTCTCCAGCATTTGCTGTCAGATGTTGTTGCTATTTTCCCAGTGGTTGCATCCTGTGACCCTGACAAAGATGCATCATACCACTGATCCCTTTGATTGCTGTACTGATTTCTATGATTGTTGCCATCTGCTGCATTTATAAACAACATCAACAACAAAAAAAGAAAACTACGGAAAAAAAAAAATCCACAACTAATGGAATCAGGCTAAGCGGAAGTATTGCAAGTTATATATCTTATTTACTGCAGCTCACAGTCTGGAAACCAATTAAACATTCTAAACATCTGAGAGTTTTGAAAATTAGAAGTACATTTTAAATATGTTATACTTTTGGGATATGACAACATATAATGTTATTGTAACTAGCACTGAATTATGTAAGACAGACATTTGGTTTTCCTTCAAAGGTGATACAAGAACAATCCAAAAGAAATTCAAATTTTGATGAATAACATTTTTAATTAAAAAAATACTATGCAGTCCAAGTTCTCTACTGTGTTGAATTAGGCAAAGCATCTTTAATATGTATACATTTTCAATTATTTTCATTTAAAGTCAAAATATTCAAATGTCATCCCTATTCTACACGTAGATAAAGAACCCTGACTACTTACATCATAATCTTTGGGGATTAGCCTCTGACATTCGTAGCTTTTTTTTCAAAGTTATCCATCCCACCAGTTATTCTAATATGCACTAATCATGATTGTTGTAAATAAACTGAATTATTAGGCCAGTTTTGGAAATTACTTTGATCAGACTTCGTTTCCTTTTTTGATTATTTATCTGTTTGAAACTAGTTTTAATATTGTTAATTGATAGTTTTTAGAAACACCTCAAACTTATTTTTATAGAATTTGGCAAAATAATCTTAAGATCATTGTAGTACTCCCTAGCAACTTTTTTTTTTTTTTTTTTTTTTTTTGGTCTTTTTTGAGACAGGGTCTCGCTATGCAGTTCACACTGGCCTTGAGCTCACTTTGTAGCCCAGGCTGGTCTTGAACTTGCAACAATCCTCCTGCCTCAGGCTCCCAAGTGCTGGGATTACAGGTATGCACCACCACGCCTGGCTCCTGGCAACCTCTTTAGTTTTTATTATTTTCAATCTTTTTTTTTTCTTTAATTCATCTAGGGTTTTGTCAATTTTTCCATAAAATCAGTATTTATCTATTTGTGATTTTTCTGTTGCTGTTTATTAATTTACATCATATTAATCACTATTCTCTTTCTAATTTCTTGAATTTATCTTGTTTCTTTCCCATTTGGCTCAGCTACTTAATTTATCTGTAATCACTAATTGTGTTCTACTGGCATTGACATCTATCAAACAAAACAGAACGTGAGATGATATCTCCCAAAGGTGAATAATCTCAGGACCTTTCACAAGAAACAACTCTAATTACGCAAATCCAGCTGAAAATTCTCAATTCCTGATTTTTTCACACGTCTACATAAACTACAATATAGTATCTGAGTGACAGCTGTCATTGTGTCCCATTCCACTTTAGAGTGGACTGCTATGGTTAACTGCATCAGTCTCACATACTCACCCTACGTGTTACCTAAAGGGAAAACCTCCTAGGCAACCCATCTTTATGGCCCTCACATCTGCACGTTGTTAGCATACTCATTTTCCTAATTAATCTGCACTCATTGTGTCTCCCAAAGTTTAACAGAAAATAATCACTGCTCTTCTTACCTATTTATTTCTTATGAAACTCCCAGTCATATTTTAATTCCTTTTTGCATTCATCACCTTGCTTTCTGCCTTCCTCTCCACACTATCTTTGCCATGATCCCTGGCACCTATGATATCCACACTGGTCTCTCAGTTTCTGCACATTCTGAAATTAAAAAAAATTAATATCCATTTCAAACATCCGTGGTTAGAGTTGCTATTCTCTTTATTTCATTATTAAAAGTGAATTTATTCTTGCAAAATTTCCATCCAAAGCATTTTACATCCTCAACATCATCTCCTGTCTTTGTAGGTCACTTACTCTTCTATCACTCGTCCAGGAATTCTTTATGTGTTCTGTACTAGGGACTGACTCTAGGCTTTGGTACTGAGCTGCATTCCAAGCCCTTTGTTTTATTGCCAGCAGTCTTTTAACACCAAAGCTACAACTAAAGCCTGATTTTAAATGTGACTTTCGCCACCTTATTTCCTCATTTCCATGCTTACTCAGTTCATATTCCATTTCCTACTGTAAATTCATGCCCTCATTATCAGCATTTCATTTATTGCTCACCTTGGATTCCACAATAAATGTTTAAAAAAAAAAGAATCAGTACTTGAGCTCTACTGCTTATCTACAGTGTTGCTGTAGCAGTTTTAAAATTGTGTTGGATGACGTCATTTGAATGCTGTGCTCATAAATTTCTACATAACACTGGCCCTAAAACCTTGATTTTTTTTTTTTAAACATACTCTCTTCTTCTGGCCCATGGATGACTCATTAACATGCCTTTCATTTTAATGATCTACAGGCAACATTTTATCAGTTCTTTGTTCTTAAATTCTATTGAAGAAAGACTCTATTAGGAAAAAATTGTCTCATTTTGCTAGTACTGGATCTTTGAAAGACTGTGCTATCTCCTCATTGAAATACTTACATTTTTCCTTTCCACTTTGTATGTTATTGAATTCTGTTTTCATTTTATTTCCTTTGTTTAACTGTTAAGCCAAATTAAAACACAATGTTACACTGTGTAAAAAGAACTGGCATGCTTACTTTCAATTTTTGCTTTGCCTTGTTTTTGAGGCATTCACATCTCTTAAAAAATCTTGTACCTTATTTTTCTGATTCTTTTCCTTCATAATTGTCTTGCTTTTAGGTATCATTGTCTTTGCTGTCTTTTTTTCTACAATTTGTAATCACCAGGATTATCTCTAAGAGTTGAGAATAATTTTTACCTTTAATCTTCCTTCACATTTTTTCCTCAGGGATTCTTGTTGCTTTGAAAACTTCTATCTATATGATATGAACTGCAAATTCATGTCTCCATAGCTCCAGTCTTTCATTTTTTAATTTCAAATACACAACTTCTTCAAAATTTTACATGTAAAAATTAATAAGTAAAACAGAAATTTATCACTCGCTTTATGAATAAGATTTCAACTTCATCTTACTTAATAATGTATATTTCCATTTGTTTGTGGGAAAGGTTAACACTTATTTGTTCCCCACTTAGCACACCTAAAAAAATCAATAAGTTCTGATGGATGTATGTTTATAGTAAGTTATTAATTAAAAAAGTTATGCATTGTCCCTATTGTTTCAATTTATTTTTTAGTTTACAGAGGTGCAGCAAAGGCCTCATAACTATTTTTCTGATATATCATTCCTCGCACAACCCATTTTCAACTTTGAAGGATTTTTCAAAGTAAGAAATCAGATTATGCCTTTCACTTATGAAAACCCTCCATAAAACTCAGTGTACTTAAGGATAAACTCTAAATTTTTAAGTAATATATTTTATGCCTAAATATTTTGTTTATTCATCCTTTTGTATTCATATTATTCTGAAAGATAATATAGTACTGTGAATATATTGCAAAATCAGTATGTTATGTCTTGTGTCTGGATGTCCCCCCAAAGCCTCATGCAGTCATGGGGCTGGCATCTAGAGTTTATGGTTGATTCATGGTCCAGGGCTGGGCTTATGAGTGTGAGTGTACAATGTGATAGAGGAAAAAGGCTTGCTATTGCTGCTCCTCCCTTTTTACTCCCGATGCTTTTGCTGTTTTCCACCACCAGGAACTGCTGTCTTCTGCCATGTGCCATTCTGCCTTGGAGTCAGCTGATTATGGACTGAAAACCGCACAAACTGTGAGCTAAATAAACATTTCCTTCCTTAACTCCGGGTGTTAGGTATTTTGTCTCAGCAATGAGAGGACAGTAAGCGAGACACAGAAAAATTAACTCTTATGGATCATTCTTCTAGGTTCAGAAAATTGTTAAAATTTCCCATTGCTAGCTGAGGTGGTACAAATGACAGCTAATCCTCTTCATCTCTAAATATATCTGCATGTATTTCCTAAGGACAATATCAGTGTCTCATATAATTATAATCATTATTAGAAAATTAATTTTGATTTACATTGATAAAAACTAGTATGTGTCATACTTTATATCAGTCCATTTTCTATTACTGTAACAAAATATCTCAGGCTAGGTACTTAAACATTTTACTTTGCTCAGATTCAGAACATCAAAGACTGAACATCATAGCACTAGTGTTGAAGAGGGTCTTGTGGCAAGTGACATCATAATGGAATGATGTAGGTAAAACAGAGATAGTGACAAAAGACAGGAAGCCAGGGAATGGAGAGGAGACATTCACAGCATCCTGCTAGCTCCTCATTTTAAAGAGCCATCACCTGAACACTAGCACAGAGGATCCAGGTCCTATTACACAAACTCTTTGGGCATAAACCACATCGCAAACCACAGCATAATACCAACATTCAAGTTTCATTAGTTATTCCAATAATAGCAACAGTGATCTTTGTGCAAACTTGCACACTCTAGTCTCTGCTGAATTTCAATTATTTTTGCTTTCTACTGACTTTACAATGTGGACAGGGTAAAAGGTTAGCTTTTCTAATATATTCATTTTTCTTTAGAGCTAAAATTGTGGCTATTACTAATTGTTGTCCATTAATTTTTTCCTGTTTTCCATCACTTGCCAACTACTTCCTAAAGGTGTAGCGTCTCCTAATCAGAAATCATCTATGGTATGTCTTAGGATCCTGAAGCTTACTTTATGCCACTCCTTGTTTTTTAACTTCTAGGGTGGGGTAATTTCTTGGGAATTTTCTGATAGCTTCTGTTACTTTTATAGGATATAATCTTTATGAAATAACTCATGTTATAAATAATGTAATTCATATTTTTTAAACTTCTGCTGGAGAATATGTTTTTGAACTTTAAAGATTTTTGTTAGCATTGTAGTAGCTATTAAAAGATGGGAATTTCCTGATTTGGCTTCTGCTTTTTATTCCAGAAATGTGTAATAAATTATTTTCAATGTAAATATTATGTCACTTTTTGTGGCAGTAGATATAATTAAGATGTCTGCATATTAAGATAGTAGGAAATATTTATTATACATTATAATGAGGAAAAATGTTCATGATTTTTAAACCTCTATAAACATGTAATGACTATATGTTTTTCTTATGAGTTGAGTAGTTTATTTAATTTTCTTTACTTATAATTTATTATAATATATTAATTTTATTCAACTTTTATTACAAGTTTTTAAAGTGAACAAATACTCCTTTAAAATACTGGGAATTGCTTTCAACAGTACATCACATGATATAGTAGTAAAGCCATGTCTGTAGAAATTCTAGTTAAATCCAAAAGTTATATGATAACACAACTCTGCATCCAAAGTCAAGACATCTTACAAAATTTCAGAAAAGAAAAAGGAGGTGAGGGCCCTGGGGATTTAGCTCAGCGGCAAAGCGCCTGTCTGGCAAGCACAAGGTCGTGAGTTCGGTTCCCGGCACCGGAGGAAAAAAAAAAAAAAAAAAAGAAAAACGAGGTGAATTGCTGTTAGAAAGTATTGAAAACCTATCATGCTTTGTTTTATGTCACAGTACATGGGGTAAAACTTCTGGCACCTACCTCTAAGGAAAAGTGCACCTAATCTATCAGAGAGATGATTCTCTCTAATTTTTAAATCCTCCTGAGAACTTGATATCACAAGTTCCCTTAATGTCAAAAAAAGTTTCAATCCAGAAGTTCTTTACTGAACCTGTCTGTTCTTACTATATATGAAGTGCATTTTTTTCATGCAATTAAAGAAGGCATATATAGGATTAATCAAAATTTCCAATTGTAAAAAATTTCTAAAGTAAAATTAATCTGAACTCATTAGCTTAAAAATTATAGTCTGGGACATTATCTTCATAGAAAACAGTAAAGCATAAAGTTAGTAAATATAAAAAGTAAATTCTTTGTTTCTAATAAGGCATGAAAGCATGTGAGAATGATAAAAAGATGAAAACTAATATAAATCAATAATGTGTAATTTAGAATAAATATGAAAATAAATAGGGAAAGATATTTGAAATAGTTTAAAGATCATTCTGGAAAAAGTCAGCAAAAGTATTTACATTAAAATTTATGTTTACAGGTATATGTGTATATATTATTTGTAATGCACATGCTGTTTTGGTGTTTTAAAAGTTTGCATGCTTTTTATAACTCTGTATTGTACTTATTTTTAATTGAACACTAGTAGAAACATATCTCACTGAGTACATATCATTGAATTAGTTTAATGCTACCTGTTTTTTTTAATTTTATGATTAGGGCAATTGTAAAAGTATTCATGAAACAATTCCCTTGATAATTATTTTTCACACTTTAGATTTTTGGACATCTGAACTTTCCATTTATATCATGGTTTACTTTGTTAAATCCATTATCATAGTCATTAACAGTACCGTATGGCCTTACATTTTAAAAAAAATCTTAAAAGAAAATTTGGAAACATTGTGAATTGTTTCTTTATGGAATAAAAAAGATTCAATATAGTTATTTCCTGCTGCTCAATATAGTTATTTTCTGCCGTCTCAGATACTATTTTAATTATGCATTGTCAAATTATAAATAACTTCTAATTAACAAACCTCTCCTTCCACCTCCTTCTATAAAATGAGCAATCAATAATTCTAATGACAATATTCATGGGTGAAGTACATCAAAGGAGGTACTCAAGTTATAGTGTAGATCAATCTCAAAGAAAGAAGAAATGCATAATAGAAACAGATCCTTTTAAAAACCACATCCCTATAGAAATTCTGTTGCTACATTGTAAAATATCAGCAACATTTTATAAATTAGCTTATATTTATATATTATTTATATTATTTATAAATAAATTAGAAATCTATCCTGTTAAAATTGTTTATCTATATGGTGTTAACACTTTATATGACACATTTAATTTGTAATAGTAAAATGTGTATATAACTAACATCTACACTGAAATATCAGACATTTTCTACAAGACAAAATATGCATTTTAATCACCTGGATACTCTTTTATTTTAATTATTTAATTAAAATTCAAAGAGTATATCCACTGCATGTAGTCATGTCTAGAAGTAAAGTAAGGATATTAGTTACAATCCTCTGTGTATTTGAAAATTTATAATTTCTATCGATATAAGCAAAGAGGAAATCTATTACTTTCAAATTTCCACAAAAGTTGGGAACCTTAGACACCCTTACGAATATAAATTATTACAGCTAACAAGGAAAACAGCTTAGTTGCTCTACAAAGTAAAATAAATCTAAAATATGATTCAACAATCTCACGTTGGAGTATATACACAATATAAATGAAGTCGGGATTTCAACAATATATTCATACTTTCCTGACCACTGTAGAATTTTTCAAAACAGTTAAGATATGAAAACAATTTAACAACCCACTCACAGATGAATGACTAAAAAAGTAACATGTACACTTAAGTAAGAAATCCAATATATAAGTAATTTAAACAGAAATATAAAGATAAGAATAGGTAAAAGGAGATAAATCGTTTGAAAATGGGAATGAGATTTTTGAATGGAGGAATAGGTAGGGAAAATAAATACTCCTAGAATGTGTTGTGTACATGTACCAACTCATGATTTGTGTGATCATTATGTACCATAAGCATGTAGTAATAAAAATTCAAAATTATGAAAGAGTTATATTGGAAATATTTTAAATTTTAAACAATTTTGGTCATTTTAATTTTTAAACTATTGTTACATTTCATTATTAAAGTAGCAATTATGGTATTAGTAATGTAAATATTCTATAAATATAAATTAATTTGCTTCTCTTTCTTCCAAAATAATGTAAGGTAGAAGTTTTACTGAAAGTACAAATATTTCTCAATAAGAAAAAAAACATACAGATACATGTTTGTATTAAAAATTAAATTTAGTTTAATTTCATCAATGCTAAATTAATTTCATATACATCATATACATATGTTTCATATTGGCATTACCAAGGATAATGGAAAGAACAGAGAAAAACTTGCAGTCTTCTCTTGGCATTCTTAGGAAACTGGTTCCAGAAACCTTGTCAAATACAAAAATCTCAAGAAGCTTAGAAAATGAAGTAGAATTTTCATGTATCCTACAAATAGAGTTTCTAGATTACTTATAATACCCGCTAAAATGTAAGTGCTTTGTGAATAGTTGTTAACAAAGAAAATATGAATACATATGCAATTAAAGATTTTCCCATACTTTTAATTGCAGTTACCTGAATCTATGCATGTAGAGGACTAGATTTTAGCATATCAGTGCATTAGAGCAGCAATTTGTCAAATACCTACTGAAGCCCCAGATGTGATAGTGTGTATGTGAATGCTATGAATAAAAATGGTGAATGCAATCTTATCTGACCTAAATGTCCTCAAATGTATGTGGAGCTTATGGATAACATAAAAATAATACCATACCAAATATTAATTTCATGTAGTTCCTTGGTGCTTAGAAAGGCCTTAAATAGAATTTGATAATAATTAATAAAACATTGTGCAAAAAATTTCCACTTAATTTGACACTTAGAAGACAAAAAGACCACAGTCAAAGGGTAACATTTTTTTTGGAAGAGAAAAAAAAAAAAATGAGGTAAAAAGAATGAAAGAAAGAAATAGTTAAGAAAGTAAAGAAGGAATAAATTATTAGACTATTAAAGACGTAAAATACTTTGGTGTTGGAGCAAGAGTTTTTTATTATTGCTAATATTTTACTATACAAATGTAAGTATCACAAAGAGAATTATGTATGTTCTTATTTTGTCAAAGTAGTTATAAGCACAGTTGGACTATTCTATATATTTTTATGATACTATAGCTAAAGTTAACAGAAAATCCAAATATCAAAATTTCATATATTTTACCAACCTTGAGGTTATGAAAATACTTAAGTTGTCATGTTTTATGAACTGATGATTATAGAGCAAAATGTCTTGTCAAATCAAACATGAAATTGACAGGAAATGTGGTTATCTCTCCCAGTGTGGGGAAGTCAATGCCAAAGGTCACAGCTAATTTAAATAATGATTTTCTCATTTGCATAATAAATTTTCTTTACTTTTGTTATATTCCACATCATGGAAAAAGAAAATTTGCCTAATAATTTATTGTTAAGCTATTTTAAACATACTTTACCTATAAATAATTATATTCCAAAAATGTGTAAAATAGAAACATTGAAAAGTGCTTGGAACTTGAAGCCTCATTCTCAAGATAAGCTGCCCTCCACCTGAGTCATATGATCATTAAACTTCCTATAGCTCAGGTCATAGTCATGTAGAAAAATTAAGAAATAATTTGCAAATAACTAGTACAAATACTAATTTTGGAGAAACCACAGTTTCTCAACCACATAGCTATCATGTCCTAGATTTTATTTCCTTAGGTTCAAGTTTTTAATTATAATGCCTACTTTTTTATAGAATCTTATAAGATATTAAAATTTCCAAACATCTTTCTTTTCCTTTTTATTGTTCTTGTTATTTTGAGACAGGGTTTCACTATGTAGTTCAAACTGGCCTTGAACTCACTCTATAGCCCAGTGAGTCTCCCAAGTGCTAAGATTACATGTGTGCGGCACTACACCAAGCTTCCAATTATCTTTAAGTGAAAACATTTAAGTTACCTATTCCATAAAACAGAACCCTGAGGATAATGCTATATGTTGAAGTTAAAGCTTGTTTGTAGCTAAATTCACTTGTATTAACATGTGTTACCTTTGAATTATTTTTCTTTATGTAAAGTCTAGACATATAAAGCCATGGTCATTTTAGTAGGAAAATATGAAGTCTAATTAAGGATGATAGAACCTTAAACATTTATGTTTAAATGCTAAAATTAATTTAATCCCTAATTCTGAAATATCTTAATTATCTGTACTTTAAAATATCCACATATATTGCTAAAAGTAACTTACCTAAGAATAGTATTACTATAACTTTCAGCACATTCAAATCTCTCTTGTCCCCAAACAAATATGGAATAAGGAAAATAGGATTCCAGGTTTTTCATAAGTGCCTCCATTATTTCTGTTATTTGCTTATGCTACCTAGAGTAATAACCCAAGGTTATCTCAAGAGTACATTTCCCAAATATGATGCACTGCTCAAGGTAACTATGAGTGGTGTTTCTAAAATCATCTGAATGGCATTTCAGTTCAAGCTATAAATAATAGACATTTTCTATCTTACCTAGGAAAACAACTATTTCTTTCTTCATAAACTTACATTCCAGTTAGAAGAGGACTTCCTAATGTATAATCCATATATTCATTATGAAACTTGGATTGACTAAAATTCTATAATCCATGAGAATCAGTGACTTCCATAACTGAAGTAAATATCTAAAAAATGAGCAGGGTAAAGAAAAAAGTCCAAGGAATCTCTTTCTGTGATAAGTGTAGAAGAAATGAATATTACTTCTCCCTGTATTTCATTGTCAAAGACTCAGTTGCATGGCTTTATCAAACTGCATCAGTAATAGAAAAGAGTGTCTAGCGGTATGGTTCTATTAGTCACTAGTCAGTCGCTGGAACAAAACACCTGATCTTCACAAGTTTAATGAAGAAGTTTATTTGCCCCGGGTTTTACACTGGAATCAGTTCATCGTTGCCTGGCTCTGAGGCAGAAGCAGCATGGTGGAGGAAAGATGCTCACAGCATGACAGCAAGGAAACAAACAGAGGAATACTCCAGGACAAAGAATCCCCCCCTTTCCATTTATACCTCCAGTTTATACCCCCCTCCAGCCAGGCCCCACTCCTAGACTTGAGGCTTTGGGGAGACTCTTTATCTAAACTATGGTGTTCTTCCCCCTCACCCAAAAAAGATACATGCCCCTCTCATTGTGTGAAGCATATTATTACATTTCTAGTAGTTGTCAAATTTGTAACAGTCCAAATTCTTAACAGTCTTCACTAATGTTCAAGGAAAGCTCTGAATTGTAAATCTCTATGAGAAATCAAAAAGTTACATACTTGGAACACACAATGGGCAAAGGTAGCCATTTCCATGCCTAAATGGAGAAATGGGAGGATAGAAACATATTCAACCAAATCAAGACCAAAATCCTTCAGGGAAAACTTTGAACTTTCAGTTCCATGTCCAGCAGCAGCATGGCAAGGAGTGACGCCAAGATGTGAGCCCTGCAGGGCTTGCGGAAGCCCTACTTTTGCAGCTTTGCCTGTTGCAGCCCTCATAGCCTCTCTCTTCAGTTAGCTCTGCTCAGCACATGCAGTTTGCTTAGCTGGCTTTTCCAGAGCAGGAGGCTTATGGGATATTCTGTCAAATAAAAGCACTGTACTTTTGAGCTGTGATAAATGTGGGATGGGCAGTTTCTGAGATGCCTTCAAGTCAACTTTCCTGTGGCCCTGGTATGAGGCACTTGGCTTCTTTTTAATGCTAATCTTTTTAGCAACCACATTCTCCTTGGCCTCAAATCTGCAGGCATTTTCTTTCTTATAAAACTGCAAACTTTTCAAACCATTAACCTTTACTTTTGTCTCTAAATTATCACTGTAGATGTGGCTAAGATTTCTACCAGTCTCCTGTCTATTGCCCTGCCTTGAAATCTTCTCCTTTATATCAATTATTTTGCTATTCTTATTCTCAGGCTGATGTAAAATCTAAGCCCATGAGAAATATAGACAAACATTTTGCCAGAATTACAGTGAGTGCAGAATTTAACTTTAGTGCAGTTTTTAATGAAGTCCTCATTCCTATTTGAAACCTCATGAGCCCGAGCTTTTCTGTTCACTTTTTAATCAGCATTCCGGTGTTTGGAGCTCTTAACATAATTAAATCAAGCTCTAGTTACAGAAAACCAGGGCTTCTCTTGAACTCTTCTCCAAAATTTTCTAAGCTACTCCTGCAAACAAGGTCCAAAGACATCTGAACCATAGCACTACCTCTATCAATTCCCTATATGGTCATGTTTCTGTCACTGGACGAAATACCCAACGTGTGTAAATGAAAAAGAGGAGAAGTTTATTTTGGTTCATGTTTTTCAGAACAGTCAGTCCGTGGTCAGCTGACTCCAGGCAGAACCTGCAGCGAGGAAGTGCACGGAAGAGGAAAGCTGCTGGCAGCATAGCAGCAAGGAAGCAAGCAAGAGGGGAGAATCTGCAGAAGGATGCTACTTTCCAGGTCATGTGCAAAGTAACCCACCCTCTCGGACCCGGCCACATCTGCGATCAGGAGATATTTTTTTATCTTAATAGTAAAAATACCTTATAGATAAAGGAAATGCACTTAGTGTTATTCAGGCAATATTTAAGAAATTTTTCTTCAATTGTTCTGCATTTACAAACCACAACAACACACACACACACACACATACATGCATGCACATACACACATGAAACTCTTTCTTTTCTTTCTAAATGATAAAACAAAAATAGAGATGAAATCATCTAAAGCTTGACTAGTATTTCTGCATGAAAACCTTTCATTGGTTTTATATGCGCTACCTAACCTCTAATGTTCTAAAGGAATAAACTTCAACGTATGACCTGCGGTTCAACTATGTTTTAAGAAATAGATTGTGCTACTGCAGCAAAACTTTATTAATTTGTTTACATGCTATCTATATCTCTTTTGATGTTGTAACTGCAGAATTGAATGTAGCTGAATCGTTGTGACAGAACCTGCATGGCCCAGAATCCTAAAATACTATCCAGTCCTATTAGAAAATGTCTGTTCCAAAATGCAATGGAACAGAAATGCTAGGATAACTATTTTCTTCACTCTCCCTTCAAATTTCTTAAAAGACAAAGAGAAGAATGATGTATTGGCCACTGTCAGGAATTTTTACAACTATATTCTCACAGTAAAAGCATGCTTTGGTTCAACATTTAATTCGTTACTTGTGAAGAAATCTTAGTCCATAGTTTTCTGCTTACTCTAACTGCAATTTTGGAGTTGTTTCCTTGTTTACTACATCATTTGGCTACAATTGATCAATATAATTGGGAATTTGATGTTCCGGGGACTTATATACAATTTATATTGATATTAGTGGGACACATTGTTGTCTTAGTGCTGAGTAAGGGGAGAAAGGTTACTGTGGCATTAGCAAGTTATATTACAAATAATATTACTCATTTTTGTTCATTTTGCTGTGATTTAAAAGATCTTTTAAAACCTCAATGACTTTTAGCATCAACAAAGGTTTATTTCTTGATCACATGCATTTTTGGCTGTGAGCTAGCAGCAGCTCTGATCTTGCTCTAGGCTATAAATAAGTTTCGGGTCAACTTTATTTTTTTCTCTGCAGGTCCCACCTATTAGAGCAGTTTGTGTTTAGGACATGCAGTTCTCATGGCAAAACAGTGCCATTTGATTGAAACATACAATGGCTTTTACAGTATTTGGTTTGATGGCAAATGTTATATCCATTACATTCCACTCACCAAAGCAAGTCCCAAGCTGTGGAAGCAGGGAGGTGTACACAGGAGCAAGGCAGTGGAATCACTGGGCAGTGTGCTGGAACGCATGTCCTATATGCAAGAGTGTGGAATTTGTAAGACAAACATTAGGAATCTGACTCCTTAAGCCCATGACTCGTGTGCTTCGAGCTATTTCTTAACAAGTAGTGTATTTCTTACCAAAACATCATTTTCCAGTGTAACTTACTTGTTTGCTTATGTATTGAAATACCACTGTGTCAAATTAAATAATCCACCTTGAAGCTATTAGAATTGGTTATAAGAAGTCATTTTTAATGTAATCTTTGCTGAAAGCTGAGTCTTAAAATATTTCTATATTTATGTTTTGCTGCTACTATGGTCTTTCCTAACTCATTAAGGATTGCACTCTATTCCATTTTATTTCCTTGAAAGAAACCATTTCCTGCCTTAAATAATTTATTTTATTTAATAACTTCCTAGGCAATCTGATAACAACCCACAGCCACTACCAACAATCTGTTTTCTAGCCACTTTGCAGGAAACTACAAGATCAAGAGACACATTGTCTGCCTATCAACATCACAGGAGACAGTTTTCCCAAATGTTTTGGCAATGCATAAGTAGGCTGTTCTGTCTAATATCAATATTTTGTCATTTAACTATTAATATGAGACCACATATTATGTTTTTATGTACCAGACCCCATATCCCATTTCAAAATATAATTTCTGCATATGTTAAGGTAATTCTAGTTGATGAAACTTACTAACTGTGAAAATTAGCCACTTGAGTTTCTTTTTTTAAATTGTATGTGTGTATTTATTTATTTATTTATTTATTTATTTATTTATTCTTTTGCACAGGGAATCAACTCACGACCATGTGCTCCCCAGGCAGGCACTGTGCTGCTGAGCTACATTGCTGGCCCTAGCCACTTGAGTTTGGACCTGTATAAAGTGCTAGTGTGTGTTGGAAAAGTTGAATACATGCTCCAAACGGTCAGGTGACCAGTGTTGGAAAAGTAAGGAAACCCATTCAAACTTTTTGTGTTTTGGGAATTTGCACTTAACTCTTTCATTTTTCTACCTGCTACACAAGTCTTGTGGATGTCACCTAACTGAAGGGGAAAGTGGGAACTGTGTTCATTTTTTTGTTTGTTTTATATTAAGAGGTAAAAGAAGGAAAACATATTAACAAAAGGACATCCATTTACAAAATAGCATAAGAACAATACAAACAATAGAGTGTTACAGACAAAGTTGTAGGAAATTAACAATGGTTATTGTATTACTTATTGGTATCTTCAAAGTGGTTTCTCAAGAAAACAAATAGAGACATATACGATTGATCAAACAAGTAATCATTAACTGTGCCTTTCTGTACAGCAATAGAAGACAGTAGTACAACTATGTTAGCTATCCTGTATATACATATATGCATAATTTCCCCCTCTTTCCCTTCTTTTTTCCCACATCCCAGTTGCCTTTTCCTTTCGAGCATTTTCCTTTCATTTCACAATGTCTATCATACCTGCTGGTTTTTACTCACTCTTTCAGGTCTTACACTAGTGAGACAATGCAATGCTTACACATGCAGGTCTGATTTATTTCACTTATGAGTATGGTCTCTTGTTGTGACCATTTACCTATCAAAGCCTTGAATTTATCTTTCTTTATAGCTGAGTAATATTCCATTATATAAAAGTATCACAATTTTCTTATCCAGTCCTTGGTGGATGGACATTTGGTTTGCTTCCACAATTTAGCAATTACAAATTGTGCTGCTATGAACATGGGTGCACATATATCGCTGTGATATGACGATTTCAGATCTTTTGGGAAAATATCCAGAAGGGGAATAGCTGGGGTGAATGGGACCTCTGGACTTAGTTTGCTGAGGCATCTCCAAACTAATTTCCACAGAGGTTTCACCAGTCTGCATTCCCACCAGCAGTGGAGAAGAGTTCCTATTTCTCCACAGCTTTGCCAGCATTTGTTATTGATTGATTTGTTAATGCTAGCCATTCTTTCTGGAGTGAGATGGGCTCTCAATATTGTTTTAATTTGCATTTCTCGAATGACTAATGATATTGATCACTTTCTCATGTATTTATTTGCCATTTGTATTTATTGATCTGAGAAATGTGTATTCATCTCTGGTGCTCATGTTTGGATTGGGTCTTTGAATTTGGGGGGTGGTGCCAAAGCTTTTTAATTCTTTATATGTTCTAGAAAAGAGACCTTTGTCTGAGGAACACTCAGTTAAAATTTTTTCCCAATTTGTAGGTTTTCTTTTTACTGTGCTGGTGATATCTTTAGATGTGCAGAAACTTTTCAGTAGGATGAGATCCAAGTTCTTGATTCTTTGAAGTATTTCACGGGCAGTTTGGTTTTTTTTCATGAACTTTCTACCTACCCCATGTCTTCAAGATTTTTACAGGGGCTAGGGATTTAGCTCAGCGGCAAAGCGCCTGCCTGAATATTTCTGTTACAATCTCAATGTCAATTAAAGTTTCCTGAGTAAATAAATAATAAAACAGACCCTTAGATAATTTAGAAAATCTTGAAATCTCCAGTATGGTTTTCTTTATAATATTACATTTAGTAAGTAAGTTTATAGAAAATTTGGTATCTATACAATATTTATATTAGCATAAAGAAAGATATTGTTCTTTTTCAAATACGTAATCATTTAATTATCCCTGAAAATTAAAACAAGACAAAACAAGTCTGTGGTTGAAGTATATGCTGTCTCATTTTTTTAGAGATGATCAGCTGGCATGATATGCTTCTTTCAGATGAGCATGAATGGAAAATGTTATAAAGTAGCTTACTGGACTCTTATGAAAAGTAATTGGGAATCAAATTGAAAGAACAACCTTGGTCATTTTTTCCTCCGTTGTTTGTAGTGTATGACTTTGATATAATTACTTTCAAATTGTATACATATAAAAATTTATATTTAAAATGTATTTGAGGGAATGAATGAAAATACTATTTATTTAATAATTAAAATTCTTGGGTAAAAACCCACTTTGCCACAGTTCTTGGAGCAGCAAAAAGCTACTGATCTACATAAAAAGAAATAATGATGTTACACACATCTAGAGGGCCTTCTAAGATTAAATACATGTATAAAGGCTTAAACATGACAATTACCTTGAAAATAGCAGATCTAGGGTATAAATAGGATACCAGGAATGTATTTAATACCTTAAATTAAAATGCTGATGTAAGGAGTTTGCAGTTCAATAATCTCAATAGATAATATGAGCTATAAAAAATGAAGGAACTCCATAGGAAGTATGATATATGAAATGAGATAATAGCTGCATGGCTTTAACTGGGAATAGAGGGTCCAGAACAATGGATCATTAAAATTAAAGAAAGAGCAATATTCATCAGAAAATTTGAACAATGGAGAGAGAGAAAAAAAAACAAGGAATAAGATTCAATAATCTGTGGAACAAAATCAAGGGATCTCACATATATAAAGGTACAGTTCCAGAAGGAGACATAAATTAATGGAATAGAAAAATAATTATTTGATAAACTAACAAGCATGACACATGAAGGGGATGACTTATAAGCCATACTTCACTGAAATTAAAAATGTCTGCACTGGAAGCCCAGTGTCAGGAGAAAGAAGCCAAGCCCATCTGAGAAAGAATTAACAGGGAAAGTATATATTCTAAGACTTGTGCTAGACTCCTGAAATTGTGAAATTGTATGAAACTATGTACATACATAGTTAATTTTTTCTCCTATATATACATACCAAAGATAGTGTTTAATTTATAACAGGCATAGCAACAGAGCAATAAGTATGACTTGCCATAGAGCTTAGTAATATTATATAGGATTTATTGAGTCTTTGTTAAATTGAGAACAGTTACCTTTTCACTTAAAGCACTTCATAGCATGTCTTTGTCTTGTCTGAACTTCAACTTCACTATTTTTGTGTTGTTGGATACTGTTAAGAAAGTAAGTGTTATAAAGTCATAATTAAAGATTATGAAAATGCAGAAAATTTCATATAATATTGGTTGATTTACAAAACATGTTAAATTTTGAAATTTACAATATATTTAAAAATATAATTACTGTATAAACTAGTAGGTCTATACCTATGCATTCAATTCACAGAAATGATAATTGCTTCCTATAAATGTCTTGTGCAATATTATTTACAGTGTGTTTTTCATAATAGCTAAGATCTTGAAACAATTTAAAATCTTTGAAGAGTATAATAAATAATTTATAATCCTTTATATAATATACCATACAAGAAATTTTTGTAACATGTAGCTACGTGGAGAAATCCCAAAATAATATTTCAAGTGAACAAGTTAATTATTCACTATTGTACTATTTGATTCTATTCATATGAAGATCAAAAATAGATGAGAGTAATTTATGGCAATATAAATAAAACTAGTGTTTGTTCTAAGGAATTGACAGGAACTGTAACCAAGACATTTTCTGCCATGATGGAGTAAGAATTAACTTATATACTTTAAATGAGATGCTGCATATTTTACCTAAAGTTCTTCCCTCCCTTTACCAGTTGTTTTACCTTTGAAGACTGTGAGAAAGTATCTGAGATATTCAACTTTTTCTTAACCACCACTGGTGAATTCCTACCATCTTGTCTAGTGAAGCTCTGTATCATTTTTAATGTGTTTTGCTTTGTTAGTATTTGTTATTCTCTTTAATGGTTTGATCAGTCTTGCATTCTTACATCTGTTAATCCCAGCAACTTCATTAAGATAACAATATGTAACATAGCAATCATTGCTAATTCCTATCATTTTATTCTCAAACCCTGTATCATGTGTATTGTTTTCACTTTGCTTTGTTTTTATCTATGTTGTTGGTATTTTGCTACTGTTCTTTTTTTATTATTCTCTTGAAAATAAAACACAACAGATATTCAATTTTAAGGTGCAAAGTTTCATTTTGACTCCCAGCGTTGGCATTTTGTTTTGTTTTTTATTTTGTTTTGTTTTGTTTTTTTTATGGTTGATTTGCCCTGATGTGGCAGCCTAGTTCCACATCATACAAGGTCCTGTGGCAGAGACATGCTCACCCTGCGGCAGCTGGGAAACACAGGAAGAGAGCACAGCACTGGGTTATCAATTCTTGCCAGGGCAGAACTCCAGGGGCCAAACGTCATCCCATTAGACGCTGCCTCTAAAAGATTTCTGCACCATCCAGCAGCACCACAGGCTAGCAACACCGCCTTTACAGAAGAGGTCAAACGGTAATTCCAGGGCAGTCTACCGTACATGAGAATTTTCATTATTTTCAGGAGAAAAATAGGGGAATGTCTGTACTAAGATCTCTAGAGAAATGGTATGCTTATAATGTTTTTATATGTTATAACGCATTTATATTTATTTATACATGCATAGAAACATTATATATGTATGCATGCATATATGCTTTATAAGAGATTATGTCATGAAATCCCAGGGGCTGAGAATCTGACATCTGCAATCCTGAGACCTTGGCAGGCTGGTGGTGTTGTTTAACCACATGAGAGTCAGAGAGGTCTCAGATTCTAGTTTAGGTTTGAAGTTCTGAGAACTGCTAGCACCGAAGACAACAGAGTGAGGTCTAGCTCATTAAGAGAGTAAAGTCAATTTTCTTTTTCATGTTTGTTCTACGCAAGCGCTCCAGACTAGATGAGGCCCACCCACACCATGGGGGTCATCTGTTTTCCTCCGTCCGTCAATTCAAATGGGGAGTTCTTCCGGAAGTACCTCACGGAAACTAGCATCACATTGTAAGATGTAGATATACAGATTTTTCACAGGTGAACACAGTTAAAATTATTTCTGCTTATTTATTTAAAAGTGCTAGAAATCAGCCAATTTTTCTTACAGTGTATGCCCATGTATTTTTTAATCACTGAATGATAATAATTTTTAATCAGTGAAACATTACAAAAGGACGCTCTGACCACAGGTTGTTCTGTTTTTTCTTCTATCCAGGACCCTTAATTTATGGCCTCCTGGAG